TCTGATGAGGACCTTAGGCCAAGACCTGGAATGCAGGTAGTTGTTAGATGAAGCACAGACAAATTGTTTAAGCAGAAGATAATTGGATTGTGTGAGGCCTGGGAGTGGACCAGCACAGGGACAAGGAAGCAGTTATACTCTGGCAGACTTGACTGGAGCAGAGAGAGAGGATGAGGCAGAAAAGGCCCTGGTTAGTGGAACAGCAAGGATTGGCCCCTTACAGCTAGGGTGCCAGAAGTAGCAGCTTAAGCCCTGCCCCAGACACCTCAGTAGCCTATAAGGGGCTTTATCATTTTACTCTGCTTGCCGTATTTACCTATCACACCTCATCATCCACCATGTACCTTCTCCTCACTCTATTACAACCCAGCACTCCTATTTATGCAAAAAAAAAAAAAAAAGCCTCTCCTTAAGCCACCAGCTCTTGCTATGCCATTGCCACAAGTATTCATAGAAACAAATCTGAGAGGCTAAGTAATTGACCAGATTTTAGTATGATAAGGTGAACCTGGGCATGTCCTTTACGTGTGCAATGTTCTGTCCTCTCACTGTGCACCTGCTGGACTCATCCTCTCCATGCCATGCCATGTAAATGCACTTCTAGTGTGCTATTTATGGTGGCACCAAAACAATGTTTTTTTGGTTTTTGTTTTTGCTTTTTAAAGTAGTACACCTTCGCTGTGCTTTTTCCCCATTTGTTATACTATATATTATATTATCACTTTTTTTTTTAAACACAGGGGTAGGGAAATAGAAGAGTTTATATCAGAAAATGTGCACAGATTGCCTTAGAGCAGTGATTTATTCTCTGGTAGATCACCTTTCTCAAATACAGTAAGGATAGAAGAGAATGAACGCTATACTAATAAGTGACTTCTCTGTAGTTTCTGTCTGAGGGAAATCTCAGTGAGTGGGCCAACGTTGCTTTCTAGGAGCTACTGCCCTGAAACAACATCAAAACAAAAACTAAAAGCAGAAGCCTGGGGACGCTTTAGTTTTGTCTTCCAGAGGTTCTAAGTTTGGCCTGACAGGCTGCAAAAATAGCTCAGTAAGGAGACAGCACAGCTGTAACCATTCTTCCTTAACAAGCTTGATATACTCAGCACAGCTCTCCTACCAGTCAATGCTCTATTGATTTATTTTGTCAGTTTTCATAGCAGTCATGAATTTTCTTCTTTTCTCACTCAGTGCAGAAGTCTGTAACTATTGTCTAAAAGTGCCAGAACTGTCTTTTGGCCCTGTATTCATCGTAGTACTAGTTGCTTCAAGTGGCTGGACCTGCGGCTACCGACCAGATGGGTGCGGAAGTCTCTTTGCCTGGAGGAGACGTCATTTATGAGCAGCTTCTATTTCCTCATGATGTAACCACCACTTGGATTCTCCCTGCTTAACAATGATAAACCGGAAAGGTGCTTTTTGTTGTTTGTCCAAATGTTATTATTTGACTTTTTTTTTTTTGCTACCAGATATTATATTTTTTCCTAAAATTGTGTAAATCTTCTTGCATGTTCCTTAATAGTCCAATCCAGAAAGTTATGTATTTATGAGAGAACTTAAAAAATTCACTTAAAGAACACATTATAAAAAACACTATGACCATTTTTAAGAATATTTCCCCTTAAGTAAGATTGTTTTTCAAGTTCTGATTTCCACAAACTTATTGAAATAGAATTGAATATTCAAATCTCATTCTCATCACCCAGATTGTAAGGAATTATGAATGATCTTAGATTTTTACCTTATCTTTTTACCTTATCTGTAAACTAAAAAATTAGAACACATAGTTTCAGAGATGATGTTTGAATAAGCAATGCTTGCACATCAAGGACAATGACTTATTGTTTACAGCAAAATTGCCATTCAGCATCATAGCACATTCTTGTGACAACTGCCCAACCCCACATTCCAACTGGCTAACATGCAAGGGTCCAGGCACTGCCTGAACCATCACTGAGCTGCATTCCAGAATAGTAAGCAGAGTCTAGAACATCTGAATCTGTCAGAATGCATAGGAGTTGTGGCTGTCAGACAAAGTTGTAAAAAAAAAAAAAGTACATGTTCCTTCAGAAAAAGTCCTTTCTTTCTTCTAGTTCTTATTTTAAACATTGACAATATGGTAAAACAAGTTATACAAAAGTCTCATCCTCACGGATTTGCATTTGGTGCTGATGTGTGTGTGTGTGCTTCTTTTAGGGAATACTGGATAATAAAAAAAATAAGTATGTTTTTACTTGTGTTTAATCTATATTTTTGTATAGAATGATAAGATTATTAAGAAGGATATTAACAGCAAAGAGTTAAACAGAAGGACAAATCCTAACCCCCCCCCCCATTGATGAGTGACCCTGGCAATCCAAATAATAGCAAATATTAGAAAATGCAATCATGCATTAGAAATTTTGGAATTGCTACCTCAAGAAAATATCTTTGTATTGATTATACAAGTTCATATCTAGCAGAACTTTCAATCTTATGGAGTCTACTGTCAAACCTAGAACTGTGCACAAGCAGAAAAGTTATTGTGCCAAAAAGCCTTGCTTCCTGAGGGTGGGGCAGGACATACGCAACATAGTAACCATTCTAAAATGGTAAGGACCAACTCAAATTATTTAGTAGGGGTTTCTCTTTGTGTAGAAAGAACAAGAATAGATAAAATGGGAAGAAATTGACAGCAACTAAAGATTCTTTTTTTAGCAATCATACCAGCCTGTGCAACTTGCATTGTTCAATGGCCTTTGATAGAAGTTAATCTAGAAGAAGAAGAAAATAACTTAATCTAGATATCTAGATATACCTGTCCAAATTGGAGAACAATTTGGTTGGTGCGAGTACGCAGTTTCATTCACTGGTTAACCAAATTTCTGTCTGGTATATCATACCCACATGTGTCTAAATCCTGCTGTTAGACAAATAGAGCGAGGGCCAGCGAGCTTTCCGTCATCTCCTTCTAAATTGTCTTCATCTCAAAGATCCTGCATGTTTGAGGATAGCAGAGTCCACACTCTTACATGCTCAGCTTCAACAGTTAAAAAAGTATTTGTATTTTGGAATGAGAACCATGCTCCAGTTAGTAAGCATGGCGAAGAATGAATTTTGAGTTTTATGACTTTCAGAAAGACGAGCATTTAGGGGACTAGTGAACACTTGTTTTATTTTAATTTTTTAGTTCATATATTAGGACATTTTACCTTAAATGAGCAAAAATTTTAAGCCTTGCAGCTCTGATTGTGGTTCAGACACCAACAGTTTTTATCACTCAGAAACGAATTTGGAATACAGCATTTCATTCCATTCCAAATTACTGAATCAGAATATCTTTAAAACAAAATGCTCAGGCATATATATATACATTGAAGTTTAAAAAGCACTAAATTTGCCTTCAATAAGCTGGCCTACGCAATTCAATCTTTCAGGAACTTGTTCCAATTGATTACGATACATTACTTATCAAATGTGAAGGTTTTTGGAGAATTATATTAAGAAATTGTATTTAATGCTAGGGAAGAGGAAATGGATTTATTTAAAACCAGCGACTTGCCTGATATTGTATCAGGCATTTCCACATATATGAATTCACTTAACACAAAACCTCTGAGCTAAGTGTCACTACCTGAAACGGGAAATACAGTCTCAGGGTAAATAGCTCATCTATTCTACACTGATGATTGCTTCAACAAATATTGAGTGCCCCGTTTCGTCCGCCCCTGAGGTTTAAATGGGTAAGGTGCTCGCTGTCGTGAAAATGCACACCGCATCCAGACAAAGGATAGGAAAACACAGGATAATGTAGCATTTCCTGAATGAAACCTCAACTTTCAGAAGAAGTTTAGAGGAAGATCCGTTGTTCAGAAAGATCTTTTAAATGATCATCTGAAGAACACATTTTTATAAGGCCAGGCCAGGGAGATCAAAAAAAAAAAAAAAAAAAGGCAAATGCAAGGGGGACTGAGCGGCCCTTGTGGCTGGAACCTGACTTGGTTGTACAGAACTTAGGAGAAAACAACAAGCTATGCTGGAACTTATGCAAGAGCCCTAGGAAGTCTTGGAGGGATTGAAGCGAGTTCAGGGGCAGGCTCTGATCAACGTTTGGAAACTCTTCTGCGGTTAGACCCAAGCTGCGGCCCGCGGGCGGGTGGGTTTATTGGGGCCACTCCCCCAGGCTGCCTTTCTCCACCCAAGTCACCGCCTCCCACGTCTGAGTTTTAGCGGGGGCGGGGGGTGTGGGTAGGAGGTGGGGAACTTGTAAGAGGGGCGGAGGGAAGAAAAACGTTTTGGAAAAAAAAAAAATGAAAAAGAAAACATCCCACTTGGCAGCGAGTGCGCGGGAAGTTGAGCGCGGGAGTTCCGGGTTGCCCGCCCGCCCCTCCGGCCGCAGCTCGGGTGAGCCCCCAGCCCTGGGTCGGCCGCTGCCTCCTGGGCCGAGTCGGTGCGTCCTTCCGTCCGTCTGTCCGGCAGTCGGCGGGCTCGGCTGCTCGGGAGGTCCCGCCAAGGGTCCCGCGGCGCTCCGAGAGGCGGCCACCCCGGGATCCCCGTTCCAGGTGGGTTCGGGGAGCGCCCCGTGCGGCCTGCTAGGCTCCTGCGCCCAGGGCGCCCAGCGGCCGTCTCGGATGCCACTTGTGGAGTTGTCTGAGCCACTGTAACTTTAAACCAGAGTGAGCAAGCCCTATTTTTATTCAGAAACCAACGAAGGCGCAGATGGAGGGCCAGTCCCGCTTAAAGTACTCCAGCACATGGGCGGGCAGGGGCGGCTTCTCCTTGTAGCTTTTCTTGGAGCTTTCTGCTTGCAGAGTTCTGCAGCCAACTCTCAGGAGAGGCCCAGGTTTGTGGCTGTGGGACTCAGGGATGAGGGTATTGCCTGAGCTTCAGGGAGGCGTTCCTGAGTCCCACCTGCCTGGCTTCTAAGTAGTCATCTGGAGGCCACCAGCCTGGAGCCAGGTCTGCGCTGTGTCCTGGGCTGCATCCTGCAGACATAGCTCCAACAAGCACCCGTGGTGAAGGACAAGATGATGAACGTGGCAGCTAAGTACCGCATGGCCTCCCTCTATGTGGGCGACCTCCATCCAGACGTCACGGAGGATCTGCTGTTCAAGAAGTTCAGCGCTGTGGGACCCGTGCTGTCCATCCGCGTCTGCAGGGACCTGCTGACCCGTCGCTCCCTGGGCTATGCCTATGTGAACTTCCTGCAGCTGGCTGATGCACAGAAGGCCCTGGACACAATGAATTTCGATATAGTGAAAGGTAGGGCCATCCGCCTCATGTGGTCCCAACGCGATGCCTACCTAAGGAAATCTGGAATTGGGAATGTCTTCATCAAGAACCTCGACAAATCCATTGATAACAAAACCCTGTATGAGTGTTTTTCAGCGTTTGGGAAGATCCTGTCTTCCAAGGTGATGAGCGATGATCAAGGCTCCAAGGGCTATGCGTTCGTGCACTTTCAGAACCAGATGGCCGCAGACAGGGCCATCGAGGAGATGAACGGCAAGTTCCTCAAGGACTGCAAGGTGTTTGTGGGCAGATTCAAAAACCGCAGAGACAGGGAGGCTGAGCTCCGAAACAACGCCAGTGAGTTCACCAACGTGTACATCAAAAACTTCGGGGACGATATGGACGACGAGAGGCTGAGGGACATTTTCAGTAAATATGGCAGGATCGTGAGTGTTAAGGTGATGACCAATCCCTATGGGAAATCCAGAGGGTTTGGCTTTGTGAGCTTTGACAGCCACGAGGCTGCCAAAAGGGCCGTGGAAGAGATGAATGGGGAGGACATCAACGGGCAGCCCCTCTTCGTAGGTCGGGCACAGAAGAAAGTAGAGCGGCAGGCTGAGTTAAAACAAATGTTTGAACAATTGAAGAAGGAAAGGATTCGCGGGCGCCAGGCAGCAAAACTCTACATTAAGAATCTCGATGGCAGCATCGACGATGAAAAGCTGCGGAAGGAGTTTGCCTGCTTTGGGTCCGTTAGCAGAGTGAAGGTGATGCAAGAAGAAGGACTGAGCAAAGGCTTCGGCTTGGTCTGCTTCTCCTCTGCGGAGGAGGCCAGCCGAGCCATGGCCGAGATGAATGGCCGAATCTTGGGCTCCAAACCTCTCAACATCGCCTTGGCCCAGGGGTACTAGGAAACAGACCATTACCTCACCCGCCAGTTGTGGCAGGCATGAGCAGTTCAAATCCAGTTGAAAATAGTGGGTGAATTCTTTTAAATTTATATCTGATACGGTTGAACTTTTAACTTGACTTCCACAAGTGGCTATGTTTCTAGTGGTTTAGATTAAGGTGCTGGAAGTTTGTAATTTTGTTATCAAACTGGCCCTATGTGATATTTTCTTATTCCTGTTGGTTGACTATTATCCAGGTGCTTTCTAATTATCTGAATTATGACATGTATAAGAGAGCCTTAACTTTTGCATTCCTTGTTGAAAACATGTATCAAAATCAGGTGAACTAAATGGATCTGGTTTTTAAACTCTATATTGTCAGGTTTCCTGTTCTGCCTAAAGGGTTTTGGCAGCTGTGTGTTTGGAATATAGAAATCATATTTAAAATATGTTTTATAATCTTTGCTCCATGTTGTTTTGGACAGTGATATAGTCTCAGGGTCCTGAGAAGTTTCTTGACTTTTTTGTTAAATGTTTCCTTTTTATTAGACCGTGAGAGATGTCTAACCTTTTAAAATGTACCTTGATTGATCAAAACCTCACTTTCAATTTTCTAGGCAATGGAAAGAATACTATACAACCTGCTTTCTAGCATAATTTTTGTTTTAACTCACTCCCAGATCTGGCTTCCTCTTCTCTTGCTAGTATCACTCATTCCCTTTCACAGACTTTTTTTTTTTAAGGATTTTGTTATATCCGTTTTTAATTCACACTGCTTCATATGTCTTTAAAAAATGTAAACAATTACTTGTAAAATTACTGTCCATCTATAACAAAAGCATCTTGCAAATGGTTTTGTTGTAGCCTTTTGCTGTTTTAACTGTGTTTGCTCTGCTTGATTCTTTTCTGTAACATGTATTGACATCTTCCTTTCATATATTCCTAATAGAAAAGAAATATTAAGTATTCTATATAATTTAGCCATGAGTAGGCACACTTTTTATTTAATCTTACATCATTTTTGTATATCCATTGCATATAGCCTAAAACAACCATCTTTGGCCAATAAAATTATGCATGCAGTGAAAAATGTCAAAATAATAACAGAAATAAACTCCTTTCATCAACTAGATCTTCTGATAAGAATTTGTTGCATGTACTCTCCAGTACTTTATACATATATCGTAGAAAACAAAAATAGGCTCATATTATACATTTTAAAATGATTCTCACTTTGCATATGCTATGGTCAATTTCCATGTCAACAGATATGTGCACTAAACTTTTAAGGACTGTTCTTTCCTTATTAATAGATGTTTACAATGTTAGATGTTTCCCCATTTTGTTTTACACAATAGATGAATATATATATATGTATAAAATGAGTTTGAAACTATTTTCTTAATAAAACTTATGCACTCGGTATTAGTTATCGAAGAAATAAGTGATTTAAAAATAACACGTTAAAGATTGCTCAAATAATTCCAGACAATTTGACCCAGTTATGTTTCTACTAACAGTGTAGGGATGCTTGTTTTTTCCCATATATTCTAACGGACAAGATAGTTTAAGTTGCTGGCCATATTAGCAAGCACATGTTTAATGATCTTTACTTTTTTATTGGGTATATTTTTATTTATATGAATTTGTTAGATTTCTTGAAATAGCCATACATCATTTTAGATGTTTCTTAACATTCTTAATTTTTTTTGTAGTTTTGAATGCTGTGTCTTAGTTAAATGTAAAGCTTCCATTCTGAACTGCTTAGACGTGCATATACCCTCTCTCTTCACATACACACGTGTAAATACATACATGAATAATCCATTGGTATTGTCTTCTGTTACTTTGCATTTCCAATTCTTAGTAATCTCTATCCAAGGCTTTTATATGTAATATACGTTGTGTAAAGCTCATAGGAATTTTTGAAAGGGTATTGTTTTCCAATTTTTCATAATGTATGCTGTGATCAATGTTGATTAATTTTTAAAAATGTACGTGAAACTCTCACACGCCAATTCTCTTTCATTGGGCTTCTGAATTGCTGAATTGGAAAATGTCTACCTCAGAAGCAAAAGTGTGGTTAGAAAGAATACGAGCAAACATGATTGGGTAGTGTAAATACATGTATCAGATCTTATCATGCTTATAATCAAGATAATATCAGGAAACTAAATCTTCTGTCCGTGCACAAGGAGATAGTAGGGCATGATATAACATGTCTATAGGAATGGTAGTTATACCTTAATGATATGATAATGTACCATCTCAGTAGGAATTGCTTCTTCTCAGTATTTAGCATAATAAATAATATCAACTTACAAAAATGTAATCAAAGGCTCCTCATTCCAAACTTGTATGGATATATGTGATTATATTAAGTCATTTTTGCACCCAAGTGCCTTGTTGAAGAAATACAATATTTGTATTTCTGGTAAGCTTTCCAACAAAGGTTAATTTACATAGATATGTCTTAGGCATTGCTTCATTCTTACCACTGTCATCATACATATTTCCAAGCTTGTTGTATGGAATCCTGTTGACATGAAAAGCTGGTTCAAAAATGTGTGCCTTTCAACATCTTTTTTTTTTTTTAATTTGTAAGTGAAAATTTCTGCTAAAAGTACAGCTTTAAAGTGGTTATTGTTATTTTAATGTCTTTGATAATTTATACATCAGTGGGAAAAGTATAAAATAAAATCAAATGTTTCAAAAAGAAGACATAATTGAAGTGAATTTTATTTACTTTATATAATTCTAATTTTCTGAAGAGAAGTTGCCCTTAAGAATGAATTGAAGAGCTTGTGCTTTTAACTGGTGACACTCATATTTCCTTTTTTAAAAGACCAATTTCTGTATGAACATGTATATCCAAGTTACTCATTATGATGGGGTGATAATTTAAAACAAATAGTGTATATAAAGTGTTTAGGAGAAATAATTGACTATTTTAACACAATTCTAAATTTATTTGTTAACATAAAATTTAGTGAATATATTGAGTATTTAGGGTTAGATTTCTTTCATTATATTTGTACATATGATTGATAATGTAATTGTTTCCATATTTCTTTGAAAGAGAGTCATAGAGATAGAAGGAAAAAGATAGATAGATAGATAGATAGATAGATAGATAGATAGATAGATAAATGACAGACAGATAGATAAAGCTTCTATCCAACCGGTTCACTGCCCATATAGCCTCAATGGCCAGAGCTGAGACAAGCACAAGCCAGGAACCAAAAGCCAGGAATTCCTCCAGGTCTCGCACATAGCTACAGGGATACACACACTTAAGCCCTTTTGTTTTGATTTCAAAGGCACATTAACAGAGACCTGGATCCGAAACGAGGCATTAGGACATGAGCCCGTGCCTATATGGGATACCACAGGTGGAGGCGCAGTGTACCGCATCCTGCATAACCAAAGTGACTTTTGTTTGTTTGTTTTAAACAGACAGCACACTAGAAGATACAGTTTTCAAAATTTGTGCTTTAGAAAATTAATACATCCAAGTAGAATGAAAAAATCACTCCAATTGGAAATTGGAAAATAATTTTTCAAAATATTTATTTGCATTGCTTTTCACAACATATTTTTGTAGGTATAGGAAGGAATTCATCCTTCCCACACCCCTTTTTTCTCTGCTCATTTCCCCCTCCTGTCAATGTGTCTCTAAATTGTCACATTACTACACTCTCTTAGTACAAATTACAAGTTTAACTTTCTAACATGTAAATGTTTCATGCATGACAAATGCTGGCACAGGTGAAAATGTTCAACCATGGTGTGTCAGGCCTCTGAATCACTCCCCTAGGAGTCTCCTGTTTCTCTCCTTTCCCTGTCTTGGGGTCAAGATTCAAGGCAGCAAGATTGCTGCAGGAATTCCTGCCATCATGCTGTGACATAAACACATTCAGTAGCAGGGATATTTCTGCAAAACCTTCCAGAAGTTTCCCCACTTCATTCTTATTGTCCACTATTGGTGAATAGACTCAACAAGGCCAGTCACCAGAATTGGAAGAGTAGTCAACTTTCTAAGTAAAGTATAGAATGGAGATTATAACAGGAGAGGGAGAGAAAGTCAAAATGGATGCATGAGGACTCAGCCACTCAATGTTGGTTATTTTCATTATTTATATCAGGGTTTGATTTTAGTACATATTCAAGTTGTTATTCTTTTAAGTCATGTTTACAAATAGTTCTCAAAATCATATTTTCTTGCTTCAAATAAGTTTCAAAAGTGAGCCAAGCTAATGGTTATCCTCATCATTTTGTACAATCCTAATGAATGTATTGTACAAATATTAAACAATACTATGAATATTAGTTATTTTGCTTGATATTGAGATTTGTTTATTACAATCATATTGTATTATGTCTACATTTTAAAAATAACCAAAATTGGGCCTGAAAAGCCAGATTCACTTTAATCAAATATATTTTCAGCAAAAATGTTATCAATAGATTGCAAATGATCAGTTTTAATAAAAAATCATATTTAATAAATCATTTGTTTTTTCAGTGTAAATCTATTTACTCTAGGCCCTAAATGTTTTCAAAAAATCTACTGTTTTAGAAATGTGCTAATGGGGAAATAATACTTAACTCGTTGTTTTGCCATCAACTATTGTAATATTTTATTTTTAAAGATTTAGCTGTTTTTAACCAAAGGCATATTTTACAGAGACACAAGGAGAGACATAGAGAGAGCTCTTCTCTGCTGGTTCACTCTCCAACGGGAGCGATGACCAAAGCTGAACAGATCCAAAGCTGAGAGCTAGCAACTTTTTCAGGAACTCCCATGTGGTTGTAGAGTCCCAAGAAATCTGGCCTTCATCTGCTGCTTTCCCAGGCAATTGCAGAGAGGCAGATCAGAAATGGAGTGCCCAGAACTGGGACTGGTGCCCATATTGGATACTGGCACCACAGGGCAGAGGATTAGTTCACTGTGCCACTGTGCAGGCAAGGCCCCAAATCGCAATGTTGTGTAAGTGACAGATTTCAAAAGCACAATTTCT